TTTTACATTGCTATGTTGTTCTATTTTACTCTGGCCATTATGCCTTAACTGTAAAATGCCATAAAGGAATTACAAAAAAAAAAAAAAAATGATCTCCAAGATAAAAACAAGTCAGAAATTGGATACAAAAAAAATATCAAAGGCTTTATCTATGCCTAGAAGCAAAGTGAAGTCTATTTTTAGGAAGTGGAAGGTATTTGGTACAACACAGACCCTCCCTGGATCAGGACGTCACTCCAACCGGATGGCAAAGCCAGGAGGGAAACTGGCCAGAGAGGCTACCAAGTGGCCTACAACAACTCTGAAGCAGTTGCAGGAATTTGACAATGAATGGTCATTGTGTGCCTGTGATACCAATATCACAAATTCTCCACAAATGTGGCTTGTCTATATGTGAAGTTAAAAGAGACATATCCCAACAGACTAAAGGCTGTAAATAAAGTGATATTTAAAAAGAAAAAAAAGTAAGCCTTAATAACAAACACATTATACTTACCTGCTCTCTGCAGTGGTTTTGCACAAAGCAACCCAGATCCTCCTCTTCTTGGGTCCCCCGCCAGCACTCCTGGCCCCACCCTCCTGACAGATGTCCCCACAGCAAGAAATGGGAGCACCCGCTGCTCCATGTGTCCATTGGCTCCCAATGGTATCTCAGCCAATGAGGAGAGGAAGTTCCAGGATTGCCGAGACTCCTGTGCACATCACTGGATTGAAAGGGGGCTTAGGTGAGTAATAGGGGGGATTGGGGAGCTGCTACACAAAGAAGGTTTTTTTTTACCGTCATGCATAGAATGCATGACGGTAAAAAAAAACCTTGAGCCTTTACAACCACTTTAAAGCAAAAGGTGGTTCAAACAAAATACTGACACAAGGGGTGATCCTTTTTCCAACTCGGATTCTGTTTTTGAATTTGACATGTTGGTGTTATATCTTTCACTTGGAAGGTTCAAGTTGCACGGAGTAAAAACAGTTGGATAAAACAAAAACTGTGTCTGTCTTCATCATTTTAGGCTGCAAAAGCAACACTGATTATTTTAAAAAGGGGGTGATACTTTTCTATTCCTTGACCTTCATCATGCTGTGTTCACTAATGTTCTCTGACAAACCTCTGAGGGCTTCACATAACAGCTGTATTTATACTGAGAATAAATTACACAGAGGTGGACTCCTATTTACTAATTGGCTGACTTCTGAAGGCAATTGGTTCCACTAGATTTAAGTTAGGGGTATCAGAGTAAAGGGGACTGAATATAAATGCATGCCACACTTTTCAGATATTTGTAAAAAATATTTAATACCATTTATCATTTCCTTCCACTTCACAATTATGTGCCACTTTGTGTTGGTCTATCACATAAAATCCCAATAAAATACATTGACGTTTTTGGTTGTAACATGACAAAATGTGGAAAATTTCAAGGGGTATGAAAAAGTTTTCAAGGCACTGTAACTTAGATTACAAAATCTTCAGTTTTACTCAAATTAGTCGATGCAAAAAGGAGTACACCCCACAACAAAAACTACTACATCTAGCATTTCGTAACCTCCATGATATGTAAGGACAGCACCAAGTCTTCTAGGCATGGAATGAACAAGTTGGAGACATATTGTAACATCCATCTTTTTCCATTCTTCAAGAACGACCTCTTTTAGAGCCTGGATGCTGAATGAATAGTGATGATCAACTTGTCTCTTCAGAATTCCCCATAGGTGTTCGATTGGGTTCTGATCAGGAGACAAACTTAGGGCTTGTTTGTGCATGGGCTTTAGGAGAGGCTTCCTTCGTGGACGACACCCAAGAATACCATTCCTCTGCAGTGTACTTCATATTGTGTCACGGGAAACAATCACCCCAGTTTGGCTTTCTACTTCTTTAGCTAACTGCAGTGAACTTGCATGGCGATTTTCTTCCATCCTTATCAGATGATACTCCTATCGATGTGTTAACTTCCATGAATGGCCTGGATGTCCCTGTGAGATGGTTGTATTTCCATCTCTGTTACATTTTTGTATCACTTTTGCTACAGTATTCTGCCTGATCAGTAAAGCTTTGCTAATCTTGTATAAAGAAAGGATTTTCTTTCTCAGGCCGTGTGACATTTCTCTTCCATGTGATACCATTGCTGACAGCATGACATGGGAAGGGGTTAAGTAATGCCCTCTTACAATCAACTGCTGGACACCTGTTTAATGAATAATTAGACTCACCTGTAGTTGAATTCTTGTTAATTAGGATTTTGTTGTTTAAAATTTAGCTTTGCTCCTAAGGCTGGCCATACATTATACAATTATCTGCAGATTTTTGGTTTAGATTTACCAAAAACCATATAATAGGAGGACAAACCTAAACAACACTTTCAGTTGTATCCAATTAGGCAGGCCCTTGCACTACATAGTTGAAGGTAAATCTAAAGGAAATTGGGCAGAAAATCTGCAGATAATTGTATAATGTATGGCCAGCCTTAGACCTTCACTGGGATGTATTCATTTCTGCAACATGGTCTTGAATGAATTTGTTAGAAAAAATACTTTTTTGTGTGTGCAAATAAACAAATCTTGTTTGCAATCAATGGCTGAAAAAAAAAAAATTAGTAAGAAGCCTGGTGAGCTTTTTGAAGCTGTAATTTTTGTTCCACATTTTTCGGGGATAATGAAGAAAGTCAATAAAATTTGAATTTTATTATTTCACAAAGTTGTCATTTTACCAAGTTATTTCTCACTCATGGAATTGGCATACTTACAAATACACCCCAAAACACATTGTTCTACTCCTTCCGAGTATGGGGATAGCAAATATGTGAGAATTTTTCGCTGCCTAGGTGCATTGAGGGTCTTCAGGCTTTCTAGGGCATAAATAATGCACATAAACAACTTTCATTTAATAAGATATTTCTCACACAAAGTATGGGCATACTTAGAATTACTCCCAAAAACACACTATTGGAGGCCCTGGAGTGCCAGGACAGTATAAACACCCACACAATGACCACATTTTGGGAAACCAAACACTCAAAAACATTATTTTGGCCTGGTGCGTCTTTAGAACACACCTAAATGCTGGAGCCGGAGACTCATGCACCAGGGCTAAACACACAGCAGTAGAAACAAAATACACCTCCTGTGCTCAGGGACCCAGATCAGAAGTGGGGCTGATGGAACAATATATGAAAGTTCGTCCAAAAAAACAATCAAAAGGTTTTGCAGCTCTAACATGACGCTGGGGAAGCCCGATACAAACTGTAGTGAAGAACAAACACAAAAGCGCACCGACCTTGCGCATTACCTCAGTAAGCAAATGGTAAATTTATTGAATCAAGAAATATACTCACAAAAGTGGCAATATATAAAGGCATATAAAATCCCAAAGCGAACCACTGGAATAGGAGACGCGTGCCAATTCCATCGAGAGGGGAGACTCTCAGGGTAAAGCTGACGCATTAAGAAGGGGGGTCCCTTCTTCCTCAGAGCTCAAAGAGGGACCCCCCCTTTGAAACATGTCAGCTTTACCCGAGAGTCTCCCCTCTCGATGGGATTTGCACGTGTCTCCTATTTCAGTGCTTCGCTTTTGGATTTTATATGCCTTATGTATTGCCACTTTTGTGAGTATATTTCTTAATTCAATAAATTTACCATTTGCTTACTGAGGTAATGCGCAAGGTCGGTGCGCTTTTGTTCTTCACTAAATGCCCAGCAAGCATGGGTCCTAACACTGGCTTTGTGAATCCATGTATAAGGAAGAGGACACCCCCAGCTGAATTTTGCCCAGGGAAGGTGTACAAACTGGCTTCACTATCATGTGACATTCAGTGGGTGTCAAAGTTTACATTCGGATATAAGGCCACAGTGACATAACATGTGAAGTCTGCCATGAACGTTCAGCCTAGGTTAATAATGTCACCTTGCCTTCTGCTGAATGAAAAAGGAACACTTAAATATAAAAACTCAAACATATTAAATAGTAATATTAAATTTATTAGCAAAGTACAAAAATGTGAATAAAATTATTCAAAACTGGTAGTCTGTACAGCAGGACAAAACAATAATAAATCAGGGCATTGGGTATAGTCATTTAAGTGCTTTATATTAAAACTCATTGTAAGAGCTTTACCCCTGGTACCAAGGTCTACCCCTCAGAATGCTAGGTCCAGCTGATTCAATGGACACAGCACCATTTTGTACTATAATACAGCACCTACAACCCTTTGTCATCCATCCGGGCCATTCTTTTTGTTAACCCAAAAAAAAGTTGCAACGGGCCTGCGGGTTAGAAGTGCCTTCGGGACGTGCACACACGTTCAACTGGCGTCCGCAGTCAGGACCAGCCTTTTTCACTGTCCGCAAACACAGGGCTCCCGTGGCCTTTACAGTTGGGTGGAGGTGGAGGTCCCTTTAAACCAAGTCTTCCAGAAGGCTGCCTACTTGTTGGTTAACTTTCTGAGAACCAAGCGAATGGTCTTCTGTAACTTTAAGAAGCTCCTTTTCAGATTCCGGTTTAGTAGTGTTAGTATGCGGCTGTGTAGCAATTTCCAGTTGCCTTTTGTGTGCTGGCTTAAAAAAGCCAAGGAGACTGCCTTGCCCACTCTTGCCGTCCCTTTTTTCTTCTTTCTAAAAAGCTCCAGTTAACTTTTTCTTGTGAAAATTGTTCTGTGTGGAAGCTTATCAGACCCCTCAGTTAGACTGAGGACTTGACAGGTCCTTGGGTTTCTCGCCCTGAATCTGAAAAGTCTTTGTTCTTTACCATGAAAAAACTGAGACAGCTTTTGCTGCTCAATCATTCGCTCCCCCCAACTGCTTGCTTAGGTATTTAGTACAGAGAGGAGAACATCTATCTGTGTGCAAACTGGCCTGCATTTCATAAATCCTGTTCACTGGACAATGGTCAGATCCTTCAACTTGGTAATGATAACAGAATCTATAAATTCAGTCTCAACCAGGCTTTTGTCACCAACAATATAGTTCAATAGGGTTCCATAATTGGTCTGCCGGGCCCCAGATGCTGAGTGCCAGCACGTGAAGGCATTCTTCTGAGTGGGGTGGAAGTAACGGAAGGTATCAAGGAAAAGACCTCCTTCTGGTGGATCACCATCACTTGTTTTAGATGTCGCCGAGTCACAGAGGAACTATAATCCAACAGCACTGACAACCCTGGGTTCTCTGCAAAACACTTCCTAAAAATTAAAATCCATGTCACAATAAAGTTGATTAATCTTCAAACTGAAATGTATTTTCCAGTGACGCAGAAAAACTGGAGGAGCATGTCAGGTTTTTATTTGCACTCACTGTCAAAGAAATTAAGACCGTATTTGCAGGGGCGTATAAGACGACTGGGCGTATCCCCCTACTTTTACAGTTAAAATATGGGTGGAGGTTTGAGCTATACTCGCCGTATAAGACTACCCTCTTCCAACGAACACCAAATAAAATGAAAAAACATCAGATTTGATTTCAATATGTATGGTTAACTTTCAGTATGGTATTCCAATGATGGGGTGCTATTCCTCCCACTGACACTAATGGTGCTCCCCATCAGTAGTGTTCAGTGGGAGAAATAGTGCCCCATCATTGGTGCAGTGGGAGGAGTAGTGCCTTCATTGGTAAAGTGGGAGGAATCATGCCCCATCTTGGTGTCAGTGGGAGGAATCATGCCCCTTCATTGGTGTCAGCTGGGAGGAATAGCACCCATCTTGGTATCAGTGGGAGGAATAGTGCCCCCTCATTAGTCAGTGGGGGAGGAATAGTGCCCATCGTTGGTGTCAGTGAATCTGAGGAAAGTGCCCCATCATTGTATCAGTTACCACAAAAAATAGTGCCCATTTTGTATCAGTGGGGAGACTCCGGTAGTGCCCCATTTAGTGTCAGTGGAGGAGGAATGGTGCCCCTATCTGGTGTCAGTGGGGGAGGAATAGTGCCCTTCACTGGTGTCAGTGGTCAGGATAGTGCCCCTCATTGGTGTCAGTGGGATGAGGAATAGTGCCCCATCATTGGTGTCAGTGGGGAGAATAGTGCTTTTGTCCCATCATTGGTGTCAGTGGGGAGGAGGAATAGTGCCCCATCATTGGTGTCAGCCGGGGGAGGAGGAATAGTGCCCCCATCGTTAGTGTCAGTGGGGGGGAGAGGAGCAAGGCTGCTCCTTCTTTCAGTTCAGCAGCACTTGATTTTCGCGGGGCCCGTTCGGCTCCGCCTCCTCGCCGGTGATTGGTCGCCTGTGTCCTGGCGCCCAATTACCGGCCGAACTGAAAGAAGGAGCAGCCGCGCTTCTGGACACATTCCTAACCGGAGCCAGGTAAATACAGCACCCTAAATATGATTAATCTTAGGAACCGCCCCTGGAAAAGTGCCGCCCTGACACCGCTCGAAAACCGGCGTAGGAGCCCCCGACTTTTCAGAAGTTTTTCAGGGGGTTGCACGTCTTATACCATGTCGATGAAATAACGGTATATGGCCTGCAAAGCATTGCACCTGCGATCAACAGATCCCGGATGCAACGTCAGGGTCATGCAGACTCTCAGGATAGCGATCTGCCCATACCTCCAGTACGGGCAGGCAGTTACGTGAGAGCAGAAAGATCACAAACAATGAGAGCACTCACCAGTGCCTCCACAGGTCATTGAGAACTACAAACCATCAGCTTCAATGGCTGATAGTACTTGTAATTTATTAATTCAAAGGAAATTTCTGTGAAAGAATGATGTGGTCGTGTGGGTGGATCCCCGCATGGCTGTGCTGTTTTCAAATTGTGACAGTGGGTGTGGAAAATAATATTCCCTGCCCGCTGTCACATGGAGAAGAAGAATGGGGAAAGGGGGGTGCACGCTGAACCCTGTATTTAGGGTATAACATGTAACATGTTCAAAAAAGTGAACGTATCCCTTAAACAGCATTGTCAGCATTTCCAGCTATCTTCTACAAACTACACAACCCCTCTTCCATATGAAAGGGGAATGAGGTGCTGCTCATAGTCCAAATCAGACTAGGGTGACAAACACTGTTCCCCCCCATAGATACAGTACAGTGATGGACCAATTTCACCCTAGGATAGAAAGTGATCACCTGAAAAAAAAAGAAAACCAATGCAGCCACCACATCTAAGTACTGGTAATTTGCAACATTTTTTTTGTCTTGGGTTTTGATACATTTTAATAAAGAACTATATAATGTATGTCACATGTCTGACTTGGTGCAAAATGTGTTTAAATCATAAGACTGGCTGTATGGAATTACAAGTCATGTATTGTATGCAAGTATGTACAATCCTGACATGTTAAGCTGTCCATACTTCATACAATTTTCTTATTCAATTTCTTTTAGATTTGTCTTCATTTACTGTATGTAGTGCAAGGGTCTGACTGATTGCATACAAATTGAAAGTGTTTAGGTTTGACCTCATATTATATCGTTTTGGTAAATCTAAAGAAAAATTGTACAAGAAAATTGTATAATGTATGGCCAACCTTATGATGTTTGGACAACTCAGGCTAGGAGAGAAGCTTATGCTTGCTCTAATATTTCCCCAAGATACAACACTGTCCTTTATATGCTACCAGTACACTGGCCAAAAAAGCAGAACTCACCAGATCATCGGGATCACAGTGGTCAACAGGCTTGTGTGAGGTGTTCACATCTCCCAGTATAATCACATGGCTGAAACATTGACAGTAATACAATTTGTCAGTATCCATTCCTTGTGTAGGTGTCACCATCCTTCTCACCAAGATAAAAACTCACCCGTCCTCCTCAGAATAGCTTCTGCCCGTATCTGAAGCAATCGGTAAAAGCGCAACTTGTAGGTCTTACGCTCTGGCTTCTCAGGATCGGCCCGTGGACAATATACATTAATCACTGTCAGCGTGTCCTCTTTGTTATTGGAAGTTCTGAAAGCCAGAAAAAATCCTGATTTTATATACACAGCAGGAGACATCTGTAAAAATAATATTCATCTGGCATGTCCATTGTGGCCTTAAAAAAAAAAAAAAAAATACTCAGAATGGGCAAAGCGATAGGTTCTCTTCTAAGAAGATCTCTACACTTACCAATACCTACATTAGAGCACCAAGTTCTAATTTAATGGAAAGCTCTGTTAGAGCTTACATAGGGATAACAATCCCCACCTACTCATGTGAAAGTGTTCAGGCTTGTCATCCAGCCACTCAGAATTGAGCATTGCATCCTAGGAGTAGGCAAATATAATCCTAATATTCACCAGAATCACCCTCAGAACTATACAAAGTTGAGTATCAGTGGGGAGTCATGATGCTGAATAGGCAAAGAAGTTTAACTTGAGGTTAAAAGCAAAAACAAAAAAAAAAAAAACACAATAATTAAATAAATTTGGCAATTAATTTCCTGGACAGAAATACTATTTCTATCCTAATTTGCTTGAGGGCTCAATCCCCTCTATTGTGTTCACTGACACAGGATCAATAAAGGACACAGTAAATACTATTGCCCTCCATGTGCCCAGTTAACTTCAAAGCATTGCATTACAGTGCGTTGGAAAAGATAAATACATGCTGCATTTTTTTTTCTTTTAACAAAGCAACACACAAAAACCTGTTGAAATGGCATGCTGCATTATAGAATTACATAGACGTTTAAAAAAGGGAAAAAAGAAGCACTTCAATTCCTTTTAACAAGTGTTTTCAGCATGCATTCACACCTCACATACATTTTGCGCACAATAGCACACGCTGTATGGTGTGAATGAGCCCTTAATCTTGAATTGCTTTAAATCTGAATCCAAAAGAGATAAAAACAAATAATTAATGCAGATATGTGCTCATAAAAAAAATATTTAAAAATAAGTAGATCTATAGTAAACACTTTTTCCATGTTGGATAGCGTAAAGGGAGGGTTGTAGCCTCCCTCAGAATTATTTTTGCCATCTGTGTCTCATTGGGGAGATTTACCTTCACTTCCTGTCCCATAAACAAAACAGGAAGTGAAGGGAAACCCCTGCGAATTAAAGAAATCCCTTGGGGGCCCCACAGGTCACCAGAACCAGTGTCCCCATTAGAAGACTTCCCCTCTATCAATTTTGGGATTTTCTTTTACTTTCAATGATAATGATAAACAGGACAAGTAGAGAGGGTGAATCTCCTTAACGGGGGCACAGACAGCAATAAACAAACTAAAAAGTTTTGCCTCTAGTTCCACGTTAACCACCTACTGCAGATATACTGCTGCACAGTGGCCCCAGTGCGCGCCGGATCACATATATACATGTATGTGATCCGGTTTTCCGGGCAGGGGGTGCATGCTGTCATTCGCTACAACACAAGCCGATCAGCGGGTTTCCGACCAATGATTTATGGCCAGGACCCACTAATTGGCCGAGGGAATGACAGAGGAGTGCCCTGTGTTGGTGAACAATACAGGGCTCTCTACATACAGCAGTGATGTGCCTTTTTTTTTTCTCCCTGCAAAGCAGGGAGCAGCAGCTGTGTGGACGAAAATGCCTTGTTGATGTCAGAGAATGGGCAGACTGGTTGCTGCGACATTCAGATGGTAGGGTCAGAATTTGGGGTAAACAAAAGTTTTTCTTGCATTAAGAGAATTTTTAGGGATTAGCACTATATATCAAGCACTGCCTAATTATACACACCTTAAACCTCCAAAGATGGAACTACAATTGATAACACAGAGAATTTTACAACATTCAATTTAAAGCCAAAGAAAATGCCTTGTGTGATGGAGGGAGCCAGTAACTGGAATAATAGAAAGAGCAAGTTGGTTCCTCAATTCACAGTAAAACATAACTGCTAAGAGTACATAAGTCTTAAAAGGACATACCCACCTCCTCACAAAATATGACTCACTCCAAATATTCTGGCCACCCCTCTGGACACCGCTGCACATAGCGGCTGCGATTCCCTGTGCTGCCGGTGTAGCAGTCTGTACATGGCAATGCACAGCACTTGAGTGAGTATTCATCATAATGATTGCAATGGCAAACTCTTGCTGGTCAGTGAAACTATGTGAATATGCTGACCAATGAGAAGCTCTTCTTTCCTCTGGTACACCTTACTGGAGGAAAGAAGCCTCAGATGCACTTCACATTGGTCAGGACAGTCATGTGGCTGTGATGACCAATGACCGCATTGCAAGCATTATGGTGGATACGCAGACACATAGACTGCTACACAAGCAGCATAGAGCATTATACCTACTATGTGTAGCCAGGTCCAGCGGGGTGGTCAGGATATTTGGAGTTAGTTAATTATTTAATTTTTCATGAGAAGGTGAACTCATTCCTTTAATGGGTTGCAGGCCTTAAGCATTCTATGTATGTCCTAAAAAAAAAAAAATAAAAAAATAAAGTTCACATGGCATACAAAGCATGCCCTGTCCTTCTCTCCTGCTGCAGCTTCACCTGCTGCATTTGCCAGCAATTCTTGACTGTCAAAAAAAGACAGCTAGGACTTAGGCTTCATTCACGATTTAGAATCATGTGGCAATCAATGCACAACATGAATTTGGGTGCCATTACCATTTAATGGCATTCCAAACATGACGAGATTCTGTGGCAAACAGCACCTATAAAAATCGCGTGAAGCTTGCCATCTAATAAGGAGCAGGGGCTTCTTTTCAGGTGACAAAAGCACATAGGGCAGCCTATTCAAGTGAATTGGTTGGCCCTACATGCAAACGCAAAATCGCGTGCAAATGCTCAACCAGAATCAGCTTCAGCCACTGCAATGTAAAAGGAGCTTATGAACAGTGTTTGTAAAAAGGCTTAGGGGCTTGATAGAAAAATACAATATGTAGGGAAAAAAAAATTAAAATTTTCTATTTACCCCCTTATCATCCCCCCCCCCCCCCCATATGCTCAGCCCTTTTTCTTTACTTTTTTTTTTTTTTTTTTACTTTGTACATTTTTTTCTAGTGTCACATTTTAAAAAAATGCTCAAAATTGATTAAATAATAAAAAAAAAAAACAACTCTGGTAAAGTTTTTCTTTTTCTACAGATTGCATAAAATATTAAATATTTTTTTTAAAGCATTTCACTGAAAAAAAAACCCATATTTGCCCTAAAAAAAGTAATGGCAAGCAATGACAGTTTTTTTTTCTTAATTTGCCTGCGTTACAATTGGAGATTTTGGCAGGGGAAAATCCTTTTACACACCCCTGGTATATCACTATAAACTTTACAGCAAAACTATGCAAAAGTAAATAATAAAGTTGGACACACAGCTTTTCACTTGAAGCCTTGGTTTAAAAAAAGAAGGTTGAAAATAAACAATAATAAACCACATTTATACACAGAAACACACACACACACTTGGGAAAAAAAAAAAAAAATATAATATAATATATACAGTATACTCCGTATATATGTGTACAGGGACCCATACGGGAAAAACCTGAATCGTTTTCTCACAGGATCCTATGTTGTGTGATGACAGTTCTTCCCTCTTGGTCCAAAGACAGCAGCTCCTCCTCTGAAAATTCTTCTGTGTTGCCATAGCAGCCGACAGATCCCTTCTGACTGGTGAGCTGTCCCGTTAGCCCCTCCTCTGCTGCGAGTGGAATTGCGCTGTTCTTACAGAATGTGGCCACTCCTAGTCAAACAAGAGTAACGTGAAAGATTATTATGTGTGATCCTTCACCCTGTCTAAGTTTTCACACACCTAGTTCATTGAGGCACTAAAATGCCAGGACAGCACAAAACCCCCAAAATTACATATTTTTGGAAAGCAGACAGACCAAGGTATTTAGTAAGAAGTATGGAGAGTTTTTTTAAACTGTTATTCTTTGCCACAATTTTTTTGTAAAATGAAGAGTCAATAACGTTTGATTTAATTTACAGTTTAGTTGTCAGTAACAAGTTATTTCATACAATCAGCATAGGTATACTTAGAATCACACCCCAAAACACATTTTTATAGGGATACCGCATGTCTTTCGCTGCCCAGACAAATAAAGCGGCCCCAAATCCAAGGAGCACCTTCAGGCTTTTAAAGGGGCATAAATAATGCATCTGATTTCCTCACTACCTATCACATTTAATAAGGCCCTAAAATACACGACAGTTGAAACACCCACAAAATAACCATATTATGCAAAGCAGAACCACCAACAGATTTGATAAGAGGCATGGTGAAGATGACATTCTTTGCCATGAGTTTTTGGAAAATGCTCTAGTGCACTGAAATAACTTGGTGACGAAACCAAAAATTCAGGGTGAAACTGGACTGAGTATGAGGGGGTATTGTGGTTCAAAATGTTTTTATTTACTTTTAATGTGCTTTTTTTAACTTATGATTTTAATGCTATCACATAGGGGACCAATAGTCCTCTTTGTAAGGGGGAGGCTGTGTGTGCAAGGAGGGGGCAGGGGAGGAGCAGTGTATACACTGCTCCCTCACTGTATACACTGCTTACCTACTCTTCTGCCTCACCCACCACACACCTGCAGTACATACAGCCCCCAACCTCTCCTGGCCAAATAGTCCGCCCCCTCATTGGGGCTGGGTCTCTCATTATCAGCACCTGTATCGTCTCACTTTTTCCTATCGGCAAAATGCCAATAGGGCTATTTTTGCCAGATCTGTTTCGCCCACTGAAATTTCGATGCATCCCTAGAAAATGCGGAAAGAAACTGAAAATGTGATTTTTTTACATAAAGTTTAAAGGATAAGTTTACCTTTAAACAAAAAATAATAAATGCGCATTTTTTGCAGGTAAAAAAAATGTTTGTGGAGCCTCTATAGCATTGCACCAGCGACCAGTAAATCACTGGTACCATACATGTCTCCTCCTGACCTGTCAGTATATCTACTGGTTCGTACATGAGATTGGGAACAATGTAGCTGGTTGCACTGGTCTGGCAGTGGTGAGGAACAATGCTGCCGACTTCACTGCTCTAGTAACACTGTACTGGTGTGGGGGTAATCAGGAATACTGTTGCTGGCTGCACTGGTCTGGTGACACTACTGCTGAGGTGGCAAAAAGGGACACTGGATGGCTGTGCTGCCCTTGTGACTGACTGGTCTAAGTGTGTTCAGGAACTGGCTGTCTACTCTGGTATGGTAAAACTGTACTGGTGTGATCAATGACTAGGGATACTGCTGGGCCACCAGAGTAGCCAGACAATGTATCCCTGGTCACGTCACCCCAGTACAGCGTCACCATAATGGTGGCTCCTCTGGTGACAATGTTCTGGCTTCAACTTGTTAATGTATCTAAATCTGCCAGTACATCCAACATTCTCCTTCCCCCCCAGAATAACAATGCTGCTGTCCAAAGGTGTCCCCTGCGCTCCTTTATCCAGAGTGGGGGAGCTCTAATACAGGTGGTAGGCTACTGGCCAGATCACCAGGTGAAAACAGGGGGAAAAAAAGCCAAAAGAAAAGAAAAACGAAGGCAGCCACGTCTAATGATTGGTAAGCTGTAATATATTAAATTTTGAGTTCTGTGATTATTAACGCTTTAATGAAGAATATTTTACCCAGATTGTAGATATACAATGTTGTATTTAACAACTTGCTTACCTGAATATCCACTCCTTCCACGGCTGAAGCTAAAGTAGGAATTGTATCCTTCTATTATGGCAGTAGGTTCATCAAGCAAGTCTCCTAAACAAGCAAACCGTGAAACATTACAGCATTCAATCATCTGACTGTTCTTCTCCTCACTTTGGGGAAAAAAAAAAATTGCATTAAAATCTTTCTGAAATGTTGATTTTCTTGCCTAGGCAAGATTGATGTAGCCCCCAGCTGCCTACAGCATTCTGAGAATTTCACAGTAAGCATTCCAGGAGGCAGGACAGTGTACAATGATCTAGAGATCACGCACAGCGGCATGACATCAACGGGGCGGCTGTAAACATCAGTAAGTGGTGGCTGGTTCTCAAATTCATGAGTTGCAGGAAAGAAAATTGCTTGATTCCCCCATCAACATAGTCAGTGTTGATGGGGCAATCCCTCCCGCAGAGCTATTGTGTTCTCCTGGCGGAGGGGAGGGGGGTAGGGGTGTGTGCAGGGAGCTGTCCCTCCTGACTAAGGTAATAAGCACATTTAAAAATCTGAAATGCTGATTGTGCCCAAGTGGATCAACTTGGGTACAATCAGCCTGCCCACTGATGATTTGAATATGAGCCAGTTCAGCAGCGAGATTTGAATGGTTTATGGCTGGCTTAAATGGACCAGAAAGTATATGTTTTTTTTTATCCTACAGTAGCATTGCTGGGAGCGGATGATTTAACCTTTAAGTAGGCAGGGTGAATCTTCTCTAAGTTCATACATGATGTGATGGATTCCCCGGTACAATTTACCCCACCACTCACTCCAGCTATGCAAAACTTTGGCTGAGTGGCCAAAGCCAGCCCCTACTGTGGCACAATAGACGGGACCAATTTACACTACCCTACCATACAAAAGGCTTGTCCCAAACAAACTATTTAAAAGGTACATTAAAAACGTGGAATTAGGATTTAAAGCATATTAGACCACTCATGAGTAGTCCTTTGCCCTCTGTCTTTTTGTATGCAGCATCCATACTATAGGTCCTCTTTAAAGAAAATGTAAACCCAATATCTCCTGTTCCTGATATGTGCCAGCTGTACCATATACTTGTATTAACAAATATCTCCTGTTGTCTTTGTATTGCTTCATTTGTGTGAAATCCCTGGTATTCCTGCCAGTCCCTCTGCTTTCCTATTAAAAACTGACAACACAAGGCATGAGAGAACAGCATGGTCAGTTCTCTAGCTGTGCTGCTCTCCTCCAATGATCAGACTTTTCCTGACACAACCCCCCCCTTCCCTTCCTGCGCAACCATTGACTGCGAAGACCAGTCTTTTTTTTTTTTATATTTACACCACAAATGTTTTGCATTTCATCTCTATTTTAAACTGAATGGGTTGTTTTACAAAATACGAATTCACATATACTTAAACTTTTTTTGGTTATTTTTATTGACTAGCAGCACCTAAGAAAGTTTAAAAACAAATCTATAGCGAGACTGTAGCTCCTTCATTACAGAAAATAACTCAGTCAATCTAAATACAATTATAGATCACATTCCCTACAGCAGGGGCAGACAATATTCAGCAAGGACGCTGTTGTGGAACCCATGAAATCCCATGAAGTATTGCAAAACTGACAGCATTGCAAACTACTGAGATCTGTAGTTTCACCACAGTTGGAGCACAGAGGTTGCCTCCCCCTACCCTACTGTGTTGCCTCTCCAACAGGGCCGCTTACTGGTCACTTTAGTCTCCTGCAGGCAGATAACGTCTGCATCCAGCGAGTCGAGGATTTCTTTCAGTCCAACCCGAGTTGCCCGAATCCCATTTATATTCCAGCTCACGATCTTCATCCTTCAAAAAAATAAATTGTTATGAATACTATGCAAGATATTATAGGGTCAGTCCACCTGAAACTGATAAATCATAACATTGGCAGAGGTTAATGACTTCTCATATTTCTCTTCTAAAAAGGCTTTTAACCACTTGCTGCCCATGGCGATTCTTTTATGTTTCGCACATTATATTCAGCATTTTTTTGCTAGAAAATTACTTTTAACACCGAAACAGCAAATATTTTCTCAAAGAAGAGGCCATGGAGAATAGAAATTGTGGCCATTGAAATGTTTTATGCCACATAATTTTTGCACAGCAGTTTATGAAACACAAATTTTCCAGAAAAAAAATACACTACAATCAATTCTACTGCACAAAAACGTTAATTGATACCCAATTTTTTATACTGGTTCCCGTGTCTCTGGGCTCCCAGCCTCCAGGATCCCCAGTCCCCCCCACCTTCCTGTGTTCAGATCTCCAGGTCACCCCAGTTCTCAAAATCTCCCCGTCTCTCGACTTCCCTCATCTGCGAGGTCTCAAGTACCCCCCCCAAGACTCTGCTCTCACCAAGTCTCCCCAGTTGCGTTTCAGGTTTCTCCCCCCAACCCCTTCTAGTTTCTGTGTCATCCCAGTCTTCAGGGTCTCCCCAGTTTCCCTGGCTCTGGTCTTCAGTCTCCAAGATTCCTCCAGTCTTTGAGGTCTCAGGTTCCCCTCCCCCACCATCCCCCTCTTTGGGGCTCTCCGGTTTCCCCATCTGTGGGTTCCCAGTCTCCATGATTCCCCCTCCCCCCTTGTCCTCAGGGCTTCCCGGTCACCCTTTCTCTGGGCTCACAGTTTCCAGGGTCCCCCCCCCCCCCCCAATTTTGGAATCTCTAGGTCTCCTCCATCTTCAGGAACTCCAGGTTGCCTCCACGATTTCCCTGTCTCTGGGCTCCCGGTCTTCAGGTTCCCTCCAGTCCACTGGGCTCTCAGTCTCTGCTCTCAACAGTCTTTTGGGTCTTAGGTACCCCCACCCCAATCTCCAGGTCACCCCAGGTTTCCCTCCACAATCACCAGGTCACCCCAGTCTTTGGGGTTTCCTTGTCTCTGGACTCCAAGATTCTACCAGTCTTCAGGGTCTTAGTTCCCCCCCCCAAAGTCACCCCAGTCTGCAGGGTTTCCCTGTCTCTGGGCTACGGTGTCCAAGAATCCCCCCAGTCCTTGGGGCTCCCAACAGACTCTTTGGTCTTAGGTTCCCCCTCCATTTCCAGGTCACCCCAATCTTTGGAGTCTCAGGTTTCCCCCTCATTCACCAGATCATCTTAGTCTTTGGGATTTCCCTGTCTCTGGGCTCCCAGCCTCTAGGAACTCCCCAGTCTTCGGGGTCTCAGTTCCTTCCCCCCCTTCCCCAGGATCTCCAGGTCACGCCAGTTTTCAGGGCTTCCTGGTTTTCCTGTCTCTGGGTTTCTGCTTTCTTGGGGGTCTAAGGTCCCCCGCCCAGATCTCCAGGTCATCCCAGTCTTCAGGCTTTCCCTGTCTCTGGGCTCCCATTCTCAAGGCTTTCTGGTCTTCCTGTCACTGGGCTCCTGGTCTCCAGGTTCCTCCCACTCCAAGACTCTGTATGTTCGGTTCAATTCATTGTCAATGGCACCTTATCACGATGTGGTTTTCCCTCGGGAAAATGCAATGCATGAAGCTTGTCGTCCAAAAATGAGAAGGAGCTTATTTTGGACAAGTTTTGCAAGGCAAAACCACACAACACCCTGGTTTCCCTATCTCTGGACACCCAGTCTCCAGAGTCTCAGGTTCCTCAAGTCTAAAGGGTCACACCGGATTCCATCTCCAAGATTGTCCCAGTGTTCGTGGTCTCAGGTCCCCCGACCTGTCTTCGGGGCTTCCCAGTTTCTGGGCTCCTGGTCCCCACCCCCAATCCTTCCAGTCTCTGTTCTTCCCAGTCTTCAGGGTTTCCCAGTCTCCCCAATCTTTGGAGTCTTAGTCCCCCTTCACGTCATTCTAGTTTTTGGAGCGGTTTTTCCTGTTACTGGGCGCCCTGTCTCCAAGATCTTCAGGGGTCACCCCCCCCCCCCCCATCTACAGGATCTCCAGGTCTCCCCACTCTTCAGGGTCTGCCTGGTTTCCCTGTCTCTGAGCTCTCAGTCTCCAGGTCACCCCAGGTTTTGGGTCTTTTGTTTTCCTGTCTCTGAGCTCCCAGTCTCCAAGATCTTCAACCCCCCCCCCCCTTCTTCAGGATCTCTCCAATCTTTGGGGTCTCAGCTCCCACCCTCTTCAGGTCACCCCAGTTTTTGGAGCTTTCTGGTTTTCCTGTCTATGAGCTCCCAATCTCCAAGATCTTCAGGGGTCACCACCCCCATCTTCAGGATCTCCAGGTCTCTCCAGTCTCCATGGTTACCCTGTCTCTGAGCTCCCAGTCTCCACAATCCCTCTCCCCAGTTTTTGGGGCTCTTGTTTTCCTATCTCTAAGCGCCCAATCTCCAAGATCTTCGAGGGTTACCCCCCCCCCATCTTCATGATCTCTAGGTCTCCCCAGTCTTCGAGATCTCCATGGTGTCCCTGTCTCTGGGCTCCCAGTCTCCAAGATCCCCCCCCCCCCTTTCAGGTCAACTCAGTTTTTGGGGCTTTCTTGCTTTCCTGTCTCTAAGCACCCAGTCTTTAAGATCTTCAGGGTCTCACTCCATCTTCAGGATCACTCCAGTTCTCTGGGTCTCCCCAGTTTCCTTGTCTCCGGGCTCCCAGTCTACAGGTCTCCCCACAGTCTGTGGGCTCCCCAATCTCAGGTGCGCCCATTCTGCAGGACTCTGCCTCCCACACATTGGGGCTCCCCAGTCTTTAGAGGTCCCAGTCTCTATAACTTTTAGTGCTCCCTAGGTTTCAAAACACATGGACACCCCACATTATCTGACTGCTAACCATCACACTGCCCAGTACATGACCCACTCAGCCCCCAGTATACAGAGGGACTGTAGATAATACAGTTCAGCTCTCATACACATCACACACCTACAGCTCTGCTCCCTCTCCACCAACATGTCTACAGCAGCCAATCCCACGTCATTGCTGTATTACGCCCCGCTTTCTATTTCCCGCTCACAGAGGTGACAAGAGCGCACCGCCCGGCGCGAAGAATGTACGTCTTCACCGGGGGGAGGGGCGGAGAGAAGAGGCTGGGTATAGTGACAGCAGCAATGACAATGGGGACGCAATACAATGACAGAAGGCGCGAGTGATAGGTAGAGAAGAGTGGTAGGGGCGGGGCGTTACTGTCAGAAGGAGACACCAATTTGCAGGAGGGGAGGGGGTATAGTAATAGGGGCGGGGCGATCATGACAGCAATGACAATGAGAGTGTATGTCTGTAGGGGAGGGATATAGTAATAGGGGCGGAGCGATTCTGGAAGCAATGAAAACCAGTGATAGGGGCGAGGAGAGATCCTGGCAGCAATGACAATGAGCGTGTATGTTTGTGTGGGAGGAGTATAGTGATAGGGGAGGGGCGATCCTGGCAGCAATGAGAGGGTAGGTATCGATGTGGGCAATGCAATGAGCGTGTATGGGAGGAGTATAGTGATAGGGGAGGGGCGCTGGCAGCAATGGGGTGATCCGGGGCGCTGGCAGCAATGACAATGAGCGTGTATGGTTGTGTGGGAGGCAGTATAGTGATGGGGGGAGTATAGGGGCGGGGCGATCCTGGCAGCAATGACAATGAGCGTGTATGGTTGTTTGTATAGTGATGGGAGGGCGATCCTGGCAGCAATGACAATGAGCGTGTATGTTTTGTGTAGTAGTGATAGGGGAGGGGCGATCCTGGCAGCAATGACAATGAGAGGGTAGGTCTGTGGGGGAGGAGTATAGTGATAGGGGCGGGGCGATCCTGGCAGCAATGACAGGGGGAGCACGTGTCTGGCCTGAACTATGTTTGCCCTCATCACAGCCGTCACACTCCTGGCCGCCAGGGGGTGTCACAGGTTTCAGTTTTCACATATCATTAACCACTTCTCTCCCGGCATCATGTTTTATGTTACAATCAGCATTTATTACTGCAGTTACTTAGACCCCCCCACAAACATAATATATCTTCTAGAAGCAGAGAATAGAATAGTGCTAGCACTTTTCTTATGTTGTTTTATTTATTTATTACAGGTACTTATATAGTGCCGTCAATTTGCACAGCACTTTACATATATATTGTACATTCACATCAGTCCCTAACCCTCAAGGGGTGTACAATCTAAGGTTGTGTGATATTTACACAAATGTTTCTCAAAAGCATATTTTCTGTAAAAAAAAAAAAAAAAATGTTTAGAATGAATTTTAGTGCAAACACACACAATCCAATTCAGTGTGTCAAGCTGTTGAATCTGATTGTACAATCTCCTTTAGATCTCCCCTCAGCTATGTAATGTAAAGGCCTGTATGAACGGATAGAGACGGAGCAGATCACATTGGTTTCTCCTCCTAATACATTTAAATGAGATTGTTTGGGGATTGTAGTGTGCGTGGTCACCCTAAGATCCCTGTCTCACATGCCTACGTACACTAGGGCCAGTGTAGTACCCAATCACATTTGGTGTGAGGGTAAGCAGTTGCTTTTTTTTTTTTTGTGTGTATGTGGGGGTGTAGGACGTATAGTACGGGAGCAGCATTGCACATTTTGGCACCATACACCTAACAATCATATTTATTTATTTATTTCAGGTACTTATACAGCACCATCAATTTATGCAGCACTTTACATATATATTGTACATTCACATCAGTCCCTAACCCTCAAGGGGAGTACAATCTAAGGTCCCTAACTCACATTCATACATACACATACTAGGGCCAATTTAGACAGGAGCCAATTCACCTACCAGCATGTCTTTGGAGTGTGGGAGAAAACCGAAGCACCCGGAGGAAACCCACGCAAGCACAGGGAGAACATGCAAACTCCATGCAGGAGGCGCCATGGTCAGGAATCAAACCCATCACCCATTTACTGCAAGGCAGACGTGCTAACCACTAAGCCACTGTGCTGCCCATAATATTGCCCTAGGAGATGATCTACTTTCCTTTGATTGGATATTCCATCCAGACCGCTCTGAATCATTTTGATGGTTTGCTCAGAATCAATCAATAACAGGGTATGGGGTCTATTGAAAATTTGCATAGCCAATCACCCAGGGAATCTTCAGAGATATAATGTAACAAATGTAGAGAGCGCTAGAGGGAATGAGCAAATAAAGGTTTGAAGCCAATGGTTCCATGTATCTGCTCTTTCCCACCGGCATTCTCTAGAATTATTACTTTGTATGTCTTGTTACAAACATATATTTCCTATGCTCCTTAGCTCTACCTATTGACCATAATGTAGTATTTTACTACTGCCCATATTAAAGTGTTCCTAAACCCACAGCAGTAAAATCAGTCTGTATATGCAGTAAAGCATGCTTGTTATACTCACTGTGGGAGCTAAGGGGTTAATCCTCTGCACTGTGTAAAAGGCTGTTTGATCCTGACTTCTCTGATCCTCCCCTACTTCTACTGTCCCCAATATATCTACTGATAAAACAGAGCCTTGGGGGCAAACTGCACATGCTCAGTTTGGTGAGGATTGCTAGAGTTTTTCTTTTCTTTGGGAGGCTGCATGTGATCAGCACAGGGCCAATCAGCACTGTCCAGACAGAGGTCAGGGGTTCTACATCCTCCTGGAGCAAAATGAAAACTCCTCCTACAAGCTTTAACCAGTGCTCGGCTGAATACTGATAGAAGTCACAAGATCGCTATATACTGCTGATGAGAAGAGGTATTTAGCAGTTTATATTTACTAAAATAATTGCATTTCCATGTTGTGTGTACTGTGGGAAACCAGATATAGTGAATGCAGGGTCCAGGGGGCCCAGATATAGTGAATTCGGGGTCCTGGGAGACCAGATATAGTGAATGCAGGGTCGGGGAGACCAGATATAGTGAATGCAGGGTCTGGGGAGAGCGGATATAGTGCATGCGGGGTTCGGGCAGAGCAAATATAGTGAATGCGGGGTACGGGGAGAGTGGATATAGTGAATGCGGGGTACGGGGAGAGCAGATATAGTGAATGCAGGGTCCAGGGAGGCCGGGTATAGTGAATGCAGGGTCCGGGGGAGAGCGGATATAGGGAATGCGGGGTCCGGGGAGACTGGATATAGTGAATGCAGGGTCCAGGGAGAGCAGATATAGTGAATGCAGGGTCCAGGGAGAGCAGATATAGTGAATGCAGGGTCCGGGGAGACCAGATATAGTGAATGCAGGGTCCAGGGATACCAGATATAGTGAATGCAGGGTCCGGGGAGACCAGATATAGTGAATACAGGGTCCGGGGAGACCAGATATAGTGAATGCAGGGTCCAGGGATACCAGATATAGTGAATGCAGGGTCCGGGGAGACCAGATATAGTGAATGCAGGGTCCAGGGAGAGCAGATATAGTGAATGCAGGGTCCAGGGAGAGCAGATATAGTGAATGCAGGGTCCGTGGAGACCAGATATAGTGAATGCAGGGTCCGTGGAGACCAGATATAGTGAATGCAGGGTCCGGGGATACCAGATATAGTGAATGCAGGGTCCGGGGTCCAGATATAGTGAATGCAGGGTCCAGGGAGAGCAGTGATATAGTGAATGCAGGGTCCGGGGAGAGCAGATATAGTGAATGCAGGGTCCAGAGGAGAGGGCAGGGAGAGATATAGTGAATGCAGGGTCCAGGGAGAGCAGATATAGTACAGGGTCCAGGGTGAATGATACAGTGAATGGTCCAGGGAGAGCGGATATACTGAATGCAGGGTCCGGGGAGAGCGGATATAGTGAATGCTGGGTCCAGAGAGACCAGATATACTGAATGCAGGGTCCAGTGGAGAGCGGATATAATGAATGTCCTGGGTTTACTAACACATTAATGTAAAATTCATTCAGAAGAGAAAAGGGCCTAATAACATTCTGTGCACATTGGGTACAAGCAATGTTCTTAGGCAATTTTCTCTTGTGAACAAATGTTATGATATGCAGTGGGAAAATACTGCATTTTGGCCACTAGATGGAGTCATGGAGTATAGGAAATGCATACATCTTCATAACAAGAGATACCATGTAACAATTCTAGAGAATGCTGGTGGGAATTAGCAGATAAATGGAATCATTGGTTTCAAACATGTATTTGCTAATTCCCTCAAGCATTCTCAAGAATTGTTACATTATACCTCCTACTACAAACGCTTGTGTATTTCCTGTGCTCCTTAGCTCCATGTAGTGGCTGTAATGCGGTATTTTACTGCTGCCCATTATAAGTGAACATTCATTCAGAAAAAAATATGGCCTAATAAAATTTGTTTTTGCCGAATTCACACTGAACGAATGTACAGGCAAATTCACTGGACAAATGGCAATGCAGATTCTTTTTATAAATAGAGCCCTTGTGGCTTCTCAATAATTCATAGATATGATCTTAGGCTGCATTCACACCTCAGCGTTTTGTAGCTCCAAACTCCAAAAATGCTCAAACTTCAAAATTCAATTGTTCTCTATGGTGCCTGTTTGTGTGATCAGGTGTGAACAGGCACCATAGAGAACAATTGATTTTTTAAGCTTGAGCTATTTTGGAGCTTTGAGCTACAAAACGCTGAAGTGTGAATGCAGCCTAATTGTCTGATTCTGTGAAGAATCATTCCATCAGATTGTTACCAGTATGGCCGCCATTAGACAGGAGCCAATTTTCCTACCGAATGTCTTTGGAGATTGGAAGGAAGCTGGAGTACCCAGAAGAAACCCACATGTATACTGTATATTGTCACTTTCACACAGACTGCAGACTGTACCACCCTCTGAAATTTGATCCGTGGTGGATCGCTTTATAGACAAAGGTTAACAGCCGCTTTACATGTGTTCAGGTGAGGCCATACTACCCCCACCTTGCTGTTTTCCGATCCTCCAGGATCAAGAGATTTTCTAATATCCCAATAGAGATTTTACATTGAACTACTGCACTATGACCGCCATACCGCATCATGGCCACTAGATGGAGCCAAGGAGCATAGGAAATACATACTTCTGCTTAACAAGAGATACAATGTAAGGACTACTTTGGCACGCAGTTGCAGCACAATCCCGCTGACATCAACAGGTAAGATTGACCTCCTGTCAAACCTCATTTACACATGCGGTGGTGTCACCATCCCTCTGGTGGATCTCCTTTCAGAGGCATGTAACAATATGTTGCCCCCTGAATGTTTGCGTGGCCAGTGAAAGCCCCTGCAGGTTGCCCTAACCACATCCATGGTGTTGCAGTGCGGCCTGCTCACTTGGATGGGTCTCAGTTGAAGGCCAAGTGCTCCCTTGGTGTGAACATGGCACAAGCTGGGATGTGTTCAGACTAGGACATGTGTGAGGCCACCAGGAAGTTACCACCTGCACGGGCCAATCATATGCCGTATGGGCATTCCCCGCTCTGCAGCCACGCATGAACACCCCCCTTGTATATGCATGGCTGGGGGGGGGGGGCAGGAGCCCTCGCTGCAGATGATTGGCCCGTACAGGTGGCAGCTTCCTTGCGGGTCCAGATCCTAGTCCAAACAAGCCCTGGCAGTGTGTGCTAACATGGCCACTGGCTATATTAATGTGAAACTCAGTGGTTGGGGTGGTAAAACCAGGTCTCAACCACCTGCTTTTACTGCCCCTTAACCACACATGTAAATGAGACCTCATGTTCGACATGGCACAGTAAAATTGCCACCAACATGTGAACTCACCCATGTAAATTTGGAGATGGGCAGTCAGGAAGTGGTAAAAATGTGGATCGATGGCCTGTTTTTACAGCCCCTCAGCTTCACGTGTAAACAAGGCCTCAAACGTGACATGCTGAGTTAAAATAGCCGGCTGCAGCAATATAAACTCATCTATGTAACCAGTCTGGTAATTTGGAGGTGGGTAGTCGGGGGTGGTAAAAATGTAGATCCATGGCCTGTTTTTACTGCCCCACAGCTGCATGTGTACAAGAGGCCTCAAATGTAATATTCTGAGTTGCCACAGCAATATGAACTCATCCTTGCAGGCACCTTGTAAATTTGGAGGTGGGCGGTTGGGGGTGATAAAGTGGATCAACTGCCTGTTTTTACCGACCCTTGGCCATGCATGTAAATGTGGCCTTAAACACAACATGCTGAGTTAAAACTACTAGCTGCAACCATTTGAACTCACTCTTGTTGCCACTACGTAAGGTGGGCAGTCAGGAGATGGTAAAAGGAGGAGGTGGGCAGTCAGGTGGAAGAAAACGTGGGTCAGTGGCCTGTTTTTACCACCCCTCAGCCTCACGTGTAAACAAGGCCACAAATGTGACATGCTGATTTAAGATTGCTGACTACAGCAATATGAACTCACCCTTGCAGCAACCATGCAAATTTGGAGGTGGACAGTCAGAATGTGGTAATAATGAGGATCAGCGGCTTGTTTTTACTGCCCCTCAGGCACATGTGTACACAAGGCCCCGAAGTGATATGCCCATTTATCATTTCCGGTTGGGGCCAGGGGTGGACTGACAACTCATGGGGCCCCCGGGCAATAGGGGATCATGGGGCCCCTGTGTCCTTGCCCAAACTCAAAAAAGCCTATGAAAAAAGTACCAGGGGCATCTCATGGGGCCCCCTACTGAGCCCGGGCCCTCGGGCAGTGCCCGAGTTTCCAAATGGTCAGTCCGCCCCTGGCTGGGGCAATATGAACTCACCCTTGCATCCGCGATGTAAATGTGGAGATGGGCGGTTGGGGGAGAGGGCAGTAAAAACATGAATTAGCTGCCTAATTTACCCGCCCCCCCCTGCCGCCAGCGTGAAGTAAGTCCAAAAGCCGTCCTGAAAGCTAGGACAGGGTAAGCACACCCCTCATCCCCCCTCTACAGCACTGCAGCAGGCCTCCTTCTGATCCTACGAGTGGATCCTCCATTCCACTACCCCATCACATGGCTCTGAATGGTTAACAGTCAATCCGCCACCCGCGTCCAGCAATAAATCACCGTCCTGCTCCAATGACAGCAGCCTGTGCTACATTGCCTGCTTGAAGGTCAGGCCGGGGAGTGCATTGGCTGTCTGCAAGGACAAGGCTGCTCAGCCCTGCATGGCCTACCCCTGCCGGCTCCTTTAATTCTCCCATTGCCATGACTGGCACGGCCCATCAGCTCTATACACTGCAGTCATCCCAGCCGGCTCTGCTAGTGTACAGGGCGCTCTGCTACCTGGCCTGCACCACTCTCATCCCCTCTAATGTGTTCTAAGTCAGCTGTGTCCTGGGATTGGTCTAGTGTGTCAGCCGCTCACTTGAGGATTATTGAGTGGAGTAGAACAGCAGGTGCTGGGGAATATATTAAGCTGCAGTCAGTGAAGACAGAAAGGGCAAGGGCTGCTTTTATTTATATTCCTCTTTGGTAAAGCTGACCTTTCCTGCCGCTGAAGGAGCTGCTGGCTGCTTGTGCCTGAGGTCATATGCACAGAACACAATGGAGGGCAACTACAAAATACTGGAAGACAAGGCCTCCCGGATCCCAGGTGAGTCACTGGGGGGGGATCCTGTCTGTGGACAGGGGGGGATCCCAATGTTCCCTATACTTCTATCATTTATTATCATGATCGGGCCTGCTGAACAATCAACTGTCTGTGTTACCTCCAGTAACCAGTTAGCGTCTCCCTTTTTCTATGACAACTAGCAGTATGATCAGACTGGGTGACAAAAGGGATTTTGTACTTTCCACTGTGTGATAATGCACTTGGGATGATCTTTGGGAGGGAAACAAATGCAGCAAGTTATAATAGTGAATGAGGAACTCTGACACTGACCTAACACTGCAGCTTTTAGAAACCAAAAGGATACAAGTGACTTAAGGTGTCACTTTAAAGGCAAAAAAAAGTACATTTTACTTTAGAAATATATTTTCAAAATGTATGTTTAATCTCTTATTTATTTTTTTAATACATCAAGACTAAAAATGTATATATTTTATAATTTATATCACCTTTGTGTAAATATAAAAAAAATTGTAGTCATATAAAATTTGTATATTAATTCATATATAATATGTTGATACTACTCATAATATAACACTGTATACATTTATTTTTATACATAGTGTTGCTTGAGGTGATTGTAGCCGTATTAGTGCATTTGCTACAGGAACAATTGAGAACTGTCTGTGATACTTTTTTTATTTGCACTAACATACAATTTTGAGGACAAGCTTTCGGGGAATGTCCCCTTCTTCAGGTTCAAGCAGTAATCTTAGACCTGAAGAAGGGGACATTCCCCGAAAGCTTGTCCTCAAAATTGTATGTTAGTGGAAATAAAAAAAGTATCACGGACAGTTCTCAATTGTTCCTATACATAGTGTTGTAATTATAAATTTAAATACATTTCTATATGCATTTTACATAGTATTATTATTTTAGGAAAAATAGTATCACACTAAATAAAAATGAAATGTATATATTTTAGTAGTAATTTAACACTATATATAAAGAGTTTTGTTTAATATAGTGGTGTTTTTTGTAGTAGTTTTAGTAATTTTTTTTTTGTTACTTAAAATTAATTTTTTTTTTTTTTTGTAGTTTAAAAAAAATTATAATTTTTTATTTCTGTAGTGTGTTGTGTGTGGGGGTTGTTTGTGTGTGTGTGTTTTTTTTTTAATTATTTTAATAAAACCTTTATATTTGTTGTGTATATTTTTTATTAGATTATAGATAAAAGTTTTTTGGTTTTTTTTTTTCTATTATAAGGAAAAAAAAAAAAATCTTAACTTTAGCTATACTATGTTTCTTTCATGACCGCAGGTAAAACACACCCTAATGCCTGAATGCAGTTGTGCAGCTTTGCCATGTGTTAGTAAAACTGTACCTATCATT